TCACCTTTGAAATGGTAAAATCCTGGGAACTTCCTGAATGGGCAAAGGCAGAATGAAAGAAAGACACAGCAGGGGGAAGGAAGTCCTACCGGTTACTTGGGGCTGGGTGGAACTCACCTATCCCCCTTCACCCGCCCTCCCTTCACCCCCACCAACCGAGGCCTACAGACTGGCAGTCACTAAACAGGCCCGGCCTCCGGTAATCTCCAGTCAGAGAGTGTAAAAGCCAGGTAGGAGCAGCCATGTTGAGTCTTTAACTCCCTTTTCCTGCACAGGAAAATTTTCCCCACGTTAATCCTGTTAGACTAAGATAAATCATTCCTAAACCTTTCAAAAAATTATTCTACCACTGCTGATATTGAGCTCAGCTGTATTTATTTATTTATGTCATCAGGCGTGAACTCTGGGCCTGGGCACTGTCCCTCAGCTCTTCAGCTCAAGGCTAACTAACACTCTACCACTTGAGCCACAGCGCCACTTCCAGTCTTCTGGTGCTTTATTGGAGATAAGAGTCTCATGGACTTTCTGCCCGGGCTGGCTTTGAACTGTGATCCTCAGCTTTCTGAATAGCTAGGATTACAGGTGTGAGCCACTGGTGCCCAGCAAGCTCAGCTGTCCTAATTATTGATGGGTTTGTATCACACAGATGTTTGGGGACAACACACATGACCTATTTGACTCTATGACTAGCTACTAAGAATGTAATTAGCCTGTGTGAGCTCAGTAAGAAGTTGAGAACAGTGGAACCTTTGGAGGCTCAAGGTACACACACACACACACACTCACACACACACACACACACACACACAATTTGTTTTCAGCCTAAGAATCCTAAGCATTTCACAACCTCCCTACACACACACACACACACACACACACACACACAATTTGTTTTCAGCCTAAGAATCCTAAGCATTTCACAACCTCCCTCCCATAATAACAGCAGTTACCTTCTTAAAAATACTTCCTTTTGCTGGTGCCAGTGACTCACACCTGTAATCCTAGCTATTCAGCTGGCTGAGTAAGGACTATGGTTTGAAGATAAGAAAGTCCATGAGATTCTTATCTCCAATTAACTGCCCCCAAAAGCCAAAAGTAGAGCTGTGGCTCAAGGGGTGGAGTACTAGCCTTGAGCAGAAAAGCTTAGGGACAGAGACCATGCCCTGAGTTCAGGCCTCAGGACCAGCACAGAAGAAAAGTGATCAATGATGTGAAATGTCCAGTTTGTGAAAGGGCATGCTTTAGTTTCATGGGAAGTTTTCTTTCCATGGAACCCTCTTCAGTAATGGGGATTTAACGAAGTGTCCCTCTCTAAGTCTGTAAGTCATACAAATGGGTAGTTGAAGCAAATAAGTACCAGACAGTGCTCATAAAGATGCCTTAAGAAATGTCTGGTATTGAAAAAACCATAAAGTTCAATTGAAATTACACTATCATAAGTGCTCTTGTGGTAGCACTGAACAAAATAAGAAAATCTATCAATCAATGAGCATCTACGGAGTTCCCACTCTGGTGAAGAATAATTTTTACAAGTGTAATAAAGGTAGAACTGAAAAGCACCATCAAGCTGGAAGATCTACATAAAAAGGAACTCTGTTTCTAATCAAATATAATTACAAAAGGATGATAATTTAAATAAAGGTACAGCTTAACTTATGGACCATCCAAAGTTCTAGTAAATTCAAAATGATGAGAAAGAATAGCTACTTAGAAACTAATCTTATCCAGTAAGAGGCTACAAATTCAAACCAAACATTCAACGATGAATGTAATGCATACTTAAATAAAGCTGGATGAGTATGAAAAGCTTCTACATATAGCATCTCCTGTGATCTTCTTAGTAATTCTGAAGCAAATGTTTACTTAAATAAGGAAATATAAGGCTTAGGATTATATGACTTGTCTGTGTGTGTGTGTGTTTGTGTGTGTGTGTGTGTAACAGTACCTGGGCCTGAACTTGGGTCCTCATTCTATCGCTGGCCTTTTTCTGCTCATCAGTTGAGCTATATCTCTATTTCCAATTTTGTTTTTGCTGGCTATTTGGAGAAAAGCCTCATGGATTTGTCTTCCCAGGCTGTCCTTCAACTTCGATTCTCAGATCTCAGCCTCCTGAGATCTAAGGATTGTTAACTGTGAGCCACCACTATCTAGCAGATTGTGTGAGTTCTAATATATAGTTCTAATGAATGAGGCTCAAAACAAAGTCTTTGACTACAAATTCCATTGTTTAAATTAATAGCACAAGATCTTTTTTATTTCTGGACTAAAGAAAAATATTTTAAATGACATTTCTTCATCAAGTATTTAGGTTCCATGGCAGATGTTCAAGTATGAAAGAGGTAAACTTTACATCTTCATAAACTAGAGACATTTGAGCTGAGACTCTCTAATTGTACTTCAAAACCAAAGCACCAAATTCTGTGTGTGTGCAATCCAAGTTACATATAAGTAACTTAATTATGAATTACAAATGTTTAAAGCTGTATCTGAATAACTGTTTTTTTTTTTGTGGGGGGGACTGGGGTGCTGGTCCTGAGACCTGAACTCAGGGCTGAGGTGCTGTACCTGAGTTTTTATGCTCAAGACTAGTGCTCTACTACTTAGCCACAGTTCTACTTCTATCTTTCAGTGGTTAAAATGCAGATGAGTCTCATAGACTCTTCTGCCTGGGCTGGCTTCAAACTGCCATCCTCAGATCTCAGCCTCCTGAGTAGCTAGGATTACAGGCTTGATTACAGCACCTGAACAGACGTTGAAACAAATATGTCAACTAGTTGGCATATGGTAACCCTGGACAGCAGCACCAATGGGAAGTGTGCTTAGTGAATCTTGCCAACTTGGAGTCAAACACCTGGGACCAGTAAAAAGCCCATTTGGTGTCTCTTTAGGCATATCTTTGAGGGCATCTGTAGAGCTTAACCCAGATAATCTCTGCCTGAACCACAGGCTGTAGGCCCAGACAGAAAAAGAAGCCATAAGTGCAGGCAACCAGCATAGGCCTGTCTCTCCCTGTCCCTGTCCCTGTGGGTCTCTCTCTCTCTCTTTCTCCCAGGTGACCAGGAGGTGAGCTGCTGTTCTTCCCCACACTGTGGTAGGCTGAGAGGGCTGAAAGGATGAGCCACCATGAGCTTCTCCTCCCCTCCCTCAAGGGCTTTGCTAGGTGTTTGATCACAATGATGAAAGCTGAGGAAGCGATCCTGTTCGTACAGTCTCTGAGGAGCCATGCCCCGGGGTGGGAGTGACACCGCAGGCCACTGTACAGGGACAGACAGACAAGCTGCTCAGAAGGGCCTCGTCATTTGGTAGATTCCTCTCATTTCTCATGGCTTAAGACATCCTTGTGGTCATAGCTTCCCTTTCCCTAGGGTCTGATACCTGTCAGGAGCTTTGTGTAAATTCTACAAGCAGTTTCCAAGACAGAAGTTGGTGCATATAATAGACGAGGAAGATAAGGTTAGGAAGCCACTTGCTCAAATATCTAGTGAAATATCAAATATCTATGTGGAAGAGGCAGAGTTGACCCCAGATCATCTGACTCCCCAGCCAGTACTTGGCTTGGCTTTTTCTCCCCACCCGCCCCATACTGCCATGCTTCCTGTAGAGTGCAGCCACCACGGTGGGCTGGGCCAAAGCTCTGCCAGATTGTGCGTTTCTCTTCTCAACCATTCACATCTCAACTTGAAAGGATACTTCCAAAGAGACCTTCCCCAGGAACTTAGCTACTTAGTTATATTTCATAGTAATTTAGTGAATCAAGTTTCTCATTCTCCTTTGAAGTATTGATCAGCATCTGAAATTGTTACCTGCTTCTTGTCTGCACCCCAGGTCTGGAAGGTACATGCCTAGAGGGAGCTCAGGCTGTCTTATGTTGTTAAATCCTGGCTGTAGAGCAGGGCACCCCGCACAAGGGTAGTGCCCAATCATACTTGATTCCTGGTTGGTCTAGTGTCTCTGTAAGAGCCACATGGTGGCTGTCTACTCAGGACCCCCTGGGTAGATGGTGGACTCCATTTAGAGCCTTCTCTTGTCTCTATAGATGATTGAATAACCTTTTCTATATTTATATTTGCAAAATATCTGCAATTTCTTTCCAAGAAATTACTAGGAAGGAGCAGAATAACATGTATAAAGCACTTAAAGCTCTTCTGAACCCAAACTAAATTTCATCTTCAAAGAAATGTTACAATAAAGATAGAAGGGTGGCTCATTTTTCAAAATACAATTTCCTTTAATGGCAGATCATAAGTTTGACTCAAATGCTAATGAGTCCAGACAAATACTTTTGGCTCCCCAACCAACAATAAGAGCAAGGCTGGGTCCGACCGCGATGATCAGCTGCCCTCTAGTGGTTTTGCCTTGAACATCAGTTCCTGGCTTCACACATCATGAGACTGGCATCATATTTATTCCAAGGACTTTTTCATGTATAATCAACAGAGCTATGAAGAACAGCAAAAAGACTGTGCAACTATTGAACACAGAACCAAACGATTCCACTGTGGTCCACACACATACAAGCAAAAATATGCAACTTAGGTGCCCTGAGTGCAAATCTCAGTACTGCCTAAATAAATAGGTGAGTGTACTGGTTACTCCTGTAATCCTAGCCACTTGTGAGGAAGAGAGCAAGAGGATCATAATTTGAAGCCAGCTTGGGTAAAGAGTTCTCTCGAGATTCCACATCAGCCAATTTAAAAAGCTGGCTATGGTGTCCTGAACCTGTTACCCAGCTGTTCAGAAGTGTACCTAGCAGCGTCACCACCCAGGCTGGTCCTGTCATAAACTTGAGAAATGTGTTTATTCCAAATATAACTAAAGCAAAAAGATCTGGGGCCTGGCTCAAGCTCAGTCCAAGACCCTGAGTTCAAATCTTAACACTGACAAACTCTATGATTTTTTTCTGAGTGGGGAGATACTGGTTTCAGCACTGAAGCCGTTGATAGTTTTTATTTTGTCGTACAAGCAGGAGCAACATAAAGACTGCAGTGAAGTGCGGTTGCCATGACATCATCCCAACAGAAAGCCATTCCAAACAAAGGCAAATTCAGGTCCAGCATTTGGGAAGAGATGTGTAAGTAGCCATGACTTACCTGCTCTAGGTGAAGCTCCCCCATTTTCTTATTGTGAAGTTGAAGGTAGGAATCTGTTTTAGGAATGGGTAACCCCAAAGTCAGCTTGTTCTTTTCCACGAAGTATTGTTTGGACTTCCTTCTCCGACGGCCATGTCGTGTCCCTGGCAGGAAAACCTCGTTATGTGAACTTGAACTCTTCAGGTTCTGAGAGAGGTTGCTGGATTCCTCCCGGTCACTGTCACTTAGCTCTAAAAAGGACTCATTGCGATGGTCTCCCTGCTCATAGTTTGGGCTTAAAAATTCACTTCCAAGTAAGGAGACTGCGCTCTGAGAGCTTCTCTTCTCTTTGTCGGTTCCACCCGAAAGTTCCATGGACGGCTCCTTGGAAGGGTAGAGGGGAGCCGAGGGCAGGGTTTCCGAAGAACTGCCTGCAGACCGGGGCAGTCCCTCCACTGCCAACAACCGCACCTCCTCTTTCCTCTTCTTCCAATTCGGATCATATCGCAAGTCTGAATATTTGTCATCTGTCGGTTGTTGACTGCTCAAAGCAGAAAAGAAATGGCAAGTCCTCAATCAAAAGCAATCCACTGACTGTATTCAGCTGCTGACTTCACTCTTCCTACCATCTACAGGCTAAGGGCCTATCTCAGACTCAAAGGAGACCCATGCACTACAGATACAGAGTAAGTCTTAATTCCTCAAGTTCATTTGAAATATGCCATAAGACAGAGGACAGTTGAATTCTTTTGTTGTTGTTGTTGTTGGTTGTGGGACTTGAACTCTGGGCCTGGGCGCTGCCCCTAAGCTCTTCAGCTCAAGAATAGCGCTCTACCACTTGAGCCACAGCGCCACTTCTGGTTTTCTGAGTGGTTTATTGGAATTAAGAGTCTCACCGACTTCCCTGCCAGGGCTGGCTTTGAACTGCAATCCTCAGATCTCAGCCTCCTGAGTAGCTAGGGTTACAGGCGTGAGCCACCGGTGCCTGGCTGGACAGTTGAATTCTAAATGCCAGAAAACAGATGAGGATGGATGTTTGCAACATTAATCCAGTGAAGCACTGTGGTTCAAAGACTGTTAGTACTTGCCATCAGCAAAGGCCCAGGCTTTCAGCTGGGGAAAATAGAAGTGCAATTCCCATGCCAGCTGGTAATATGCACATTTGCTTATTTATCTAGGAAAGAAAGTATAGCCAGTAATATGCACATTTGCTTATTTATCTCGGAAGGGAAGTGGGGTCTGTTGCCTAGGCAACGTTCACCTCAGCCTGCTCCTTTTGGGAGGAAAGCCAGGCTCTAGCCCAGCTGAATGCCTACATAGGCTCATCCTTCTTTCCAGTAATTTTTTTTCACTTTATTTTGTCTTTGAAGAGGTTATCAAAGGTTATCAAATGTGCTACAGAAAGATCCCAAGGCTTAGAATCAGACCGTGGTTCACTGAATGATTCCTAGTTTGCTGGTCATCAAGTCTATGCATATAAAACTCACTAGACAGGCTACTGTGACATGAGAGCTACAGGAAAGACCTGTTTGAATAAAAGGTTAAACATATAGTCCTGTCCTCATGACCCCCAATCAGATCTCTCCTTTTCCCCCACGACAATTTCAATTTGAAAAGTGGCATCCCCTAGTCTTTACAAAAAAAAAAAGGAAGGAAGAAAAAAATGCTGGTAATATAGCATATTTAATAGCCTCTTTGATCTTCAAAAGCTAAATGGGAGAGATTTTCCTTCCTGACTACAGTGGATGAAATCTTCTAATCAAAAAGAAAATGTAAATCACCCCTGGCTTTTTATGCTATTTGGTATTCCTGTTTGCAGAGGACATAATTTTATGCCCGGTAAACAAACTAATGGTCCCCATAATGCTAATTTACTCATCTTAATGTGGCCCTTGGATTTCTTTGATTTGAGAGAAAGAAAAAACTGGAGAAAAAGCCAAAAGTCCCAGGCCTTGCTAAATTGCTATTGTGAATTATTTTAGTTTGCATATTAAAATGGAAAACTTTTTGAGATGCTGTTTTTCAACATCAAAATGTCTGGAGGAGAATGGTCAGGAAATAGGACATCAAGCTGAGCCCCGCCCTGCCCTGGCACCCTGGATAACCCGCCCTGGCACCCTGGATAACCTGCCCTGGCACCCTGGATAACCTGCCCTACCACCCTGGATAACCTGCCCTGGCACCCGGATGGCCTGCCCTGGCACCCTGGATAACCTGCCCTACCCCCTGGATAACCCGCCCTGGCACCCTGGATAACCTGCCCTGGCACCCTGGATAACCTGCCCTACCACCCCCTGGATAACCTGCCCTGGCACCCGGACGGCCTGCCCTGGCACCCTGGATAACCTGCCCTGGCACCCTGGATAACCTGCCCTGGCACCCTGGATAACCTGCCCTGGCACCCGGATGGCCTGGCACCCTGGATAACCTGCCCTGGCACCCTGGATAACCCGCCCTGGCACCCGGACGGCCTGGCACCCGGGTGACTTGCCTTCAGGGTTTTGGTCAGGAGGATTCTCCTGCATGTCACCAACCCCAGGAACTCTAAGAGCCAAGGGATGGTGTGTGTGTGTGGCGGGGGGATAATGAGATAATGGGAGGGGGTAACAATGTTCCACAAGAAATGTACTCATGACCTTACTCATGTAACTATAACCTCTCTGTACAGCATCTTTACAATAAATAAAAACATTAAAAAAAAAGCCAAGGGACACCAGGCATGGCTGGCAGGGTACAATCTACACTGGATGGACACTCCTGGGCTCTTGCCGAGGACCTGTCACTCTACATGCGGCCTCAGTTGGCCAATCATGTTCTCTCTGAACCAGTTCATCTCATTTGCATAGAGTAGCTCAAATGCGTTTTCTTTTTTTAAGTTATCTTTAAATAGCTGTACAGAGCTTCAGCTCGGGAGTTGGTGAGTGCGTGCATCTTGATTGGCGCTGCTTGTTTCTTAAGGCTGCACGACGACCCACACAAGGCAGCATGTCTTAGGGACCTGCTTTCACACTTACTTAACTTTGTGCTGTGATCGCTCCTGACTGGGCCCCAGCACCAGGCCATGTTCCAAACTCTGCAATGTGCCTGCCATAGGCACAAGAAGCAACACATGAATAGATGCTTCTAGAAAATAACTATATTTCTAAAAAAGAAACCAACAACCCGTCAACACAAACATAGTATTAGGTATTTATTAAAACCAATACTAAGGACTGGTGTTGGGGGGGTAGTTGTTCAAGTGGTACAGTGTTTGTGAGGCACCGAGATCAATCCCTAGTATTGAAAATAAAGAACAAACCAACAGAGCACAAAACAAATCACGACTCATGAAGCTCATGCTTACAATTCCTGCTACTTGGGAAGAGGAAATCAGAAGGATCGTAGTTTGATGCTGGCTTGGGCAAGAGGTTAGTGAGACCCACATCTCAACTAGTAGCACAACTGTTGACCCTGCTACAAGGAAGGGCAGTAGTTCCAGGCAAGCCCAGGTTAGTGTCCTAGAATGGAATACTAGGCCTCAGAATAGGGACCTAAGGTGGAGGTAGTCAGCAGCTCTGTCCCAGTCTCTGCCTGCTGTGTTACTCCGTTGTCATGGCTTGCCCTCCCATGTGTGGACTGTGTGGACCATGCTTCCTGCTGAGAGAACTCAGGAGATTCCTCTCTCCCCAGGGCTGAAGTTATTTCAAGGGCACTGAGCTGCTTTGTGGTGATCTGAATGGTAACCTAGAGGCCCATTTTCCGAACCCTCAATTTGAATCTTGACTTGGCCTGTGTGAGGAATCTCTGGGCCATAATTTAGGGGATGGAGCTGAGAAATGTCAGCATTCCTACCTGTTCAAGTAGTTTAACAACTGTTGGAAAAGGATGAGGAAGATATAATTGGGGGAATTAAATTACTTTAGATCTTCAAAAACAAACAAACACCAAAAACTGTACTACCTAGCCTCAACCAATATCCTTTCTTACGTAGCTTCTGAAACATTCACATATTACATAGAATGACAGTTTGAGTGGAAACTAGATAAAAGAGAAGATTTGAAAACAAACCAAACACCATGAGTTGCTTTTGGCTGAGGAAAAAATGTTTTTTGAGGGCTGGGAATGTGGCTCAGTGGTAGAGTGCTTGCCTAGCATGCATGAAACCCTAGGTTCGATTCCTCTGTACCACAAAAGCAGAAAAAGCTGGAAGTGGTGCTGTGGTTCATGTGGTAGAATGCTAGCCTTGAGCAAAAGAAGCTCAGGGATAGCACCTAAGCCCTGAGTTCAAGCCCCAGGACTGGCAAAAAAAAAAAAAGTTTTTGTGGGCTGGGAAGGTGGCTCAGTGGTAGAGTGCTTGCCTTGCATGCATGAGGCCCTGGGTTTGATTCCTCAGCACCACATAAGCCGAAAAACAAACAAACGGAAGTGGTACTGTGGCTCAAATGGTAGAGCTGAGGGACAGTTCCCAGGCCCAGAGTTCAGCCCCCACAACCAAAAAAAAAAAAAAAAAAAGAGTTTTTGAATGGATTGCTGGAAGAGAAGGCCTATAAATGAGTACATACAAGGACAGAGTTTGAAAACATGGCTTTTAGGAAGGCTTTAACAATGCTGGACTCTAAGTAAGATGACTGTCTTAAAACCTTCCATAATCCTGTCTATATGGAAGACTTGGAGCAAATGGGAGGTGGTGTTTTGCAAAACTGTGAGTATGGAAAACTGTAACACTTCACAGGAACAAATCTAAGGGTTGAAACAGAACATGATACTAAAGAACCCCATTGTCCTGGGCTTGTGTGCTAAGCAGCTCAATTGTGTTGTGTGGTCCAGGTCAACCCTCGGGGACACAATGCGTGTGAAGAGCCCTTTCATCCGTAATCATCCACACACAAAGCACGCGCCTCTTTCCTCCCCATTTGATAGAAAGGTTACCCAGACAATGCGTCCACAACCCTTTTGTTACGGCTCAGACAACAGATGCCGGGTATCCTCTTCAGAGGCCTGGGTTAGAAATGGATGTAGAGAGTGAGGGTGTGGGCTGGGAGGGGGCAGTCTCACAAGCCCACGCCAGGATATTTGCTGGCTTTAATGGACCCGAGTTGAGTACTCACTGTGATAACTTCAAACAAAATAAAATCAAATCTCCGCTTAATGAAGAGCCTCATACTCAGTTTTGTATGCAATCAAAAAATTAGTAAAATTAGAGCATGTTTCTCGTACAATTAACATCCTTTGCACTCACGATAAAATATTCAATAACTGGCCATTTTGCCTGTTGAGGAGGTGAATAAAAGCATTGCTATTAATCATTTAGCTGTTATTTATTTGCCACTTTATTTTAAGTAGGCAGTTAGATTGAAACTGCACATGTTATTACTGATTTAGGTTTAATTTAATCCTTTTAAACAGAACAATTATTCTTAATTTATATGCCATTAAATCTTTTATGCATATGAGCAGCAAACTCAATTTCTGTTTAAGTGTAAAGTTTTTAGTGTTTCCCTAAGAAACAAGAAAACTGACAATTGTTTCCAAGGATTTCTGAATTCTATGCTCATCTTAATC